CGTCCCTGTGGTAGAACCTCTCTTCTGTGTTTTGGGAGTATTTTTTTTTTTCGTTTGTTTCAATGGCCGTATGCCACTCCATGCAAATTCCCAGTGGGTGGCGCCCCTTTCCCTTCTGTTTGCCGCTGCCATCAACACATGCGGTGCCGGTCTTGTTGATGTGCACCTCATGTGTTGCATAAGAAAACGAGGCCGAGTATACGAAGAAATATGAACGGTGCGTGGGAGGCTGTGGCAAGGCAGTCGTTTTTGCGGTCGATAAATATACAAATACACACGCTGTCTTCTTGTTACTTCTGGAAGCGTGAAGGAAAAAGCGACCGCCAACGTATTTTTTTTAAAATTAAATAAAAAAAAGTGGAAGTACATCAATATATATATATATATATATATAAACGTAAATAAATTTGTTTTTTTTTTGATTTGAAGCCAAATTACTGCAGCTCAGTTTTAGTTTGCGCCCTGTCCGCCAGTTTTACTGCGTGTGCCCGTGTCGTATTTGCTGTCGACGCCGGCTGTGTTGGTGGCATGTCTTTTGTTCCATTCTTTCCCGCTAGTCGCATGGATGGTGCCCCGCGTCTGGCGGTTTGGTGATGCGTGAGAGCTGCGCGGCCCGTCGGCCCTTTGTTGCTGCGCCCCGTGGATTGGTTCACCGGCACTCGCCCCGCCGGTCAGCCGAGGTGGCTCTTTGCAGAGGGGAAACGCCGCCTTTTTTGTGCGGCCCAAGCGGAGGTCCGACTGATGCCGTTAACGGTGAGTTGGCGCTCCTGCGGACACATGTGCCCTCTTGTCGCCCATGCCCGTCCGTTTTAAATTTCCCAACGCAGTTAGGTTCATTCGGTACGAGTTTGTGCGCCTGCGACACCGAGTCTCACACCCCACACACGCAGCGGCAGATGCGTCAATATGCTTTCTGTTTTCTATTTAAATTACATTGGGCGGCGGTGTGAAGTCGCACGGACACGAGGAATGGGAGGAAGTTGCGCCCATTTGGGAGACGGAGGAAGAGATGATGGGCGGGAGGCACAAATGCCGATTGCGCTCTGCTGGAAAAGGGGCGCATTACAAAACGGCGTTGGCCTCTACCCTGAGATGTTCCGCACCACCACTACTCCGAGGAATTGGAGCCTGTCACCTGCGTGCGTGCGTGTGCTCAGCGCCCTTCTCCTCAGTGCCAGTGCTTCGGGGACCGTAAATTAAGCGTTGGAAGTGATGTGATGCACGCCTGCACTTTTGCTCGGCTGTATGCTAACACCGGAGGCAAGGACGGCGCTCTACCCGCTGTACCCGGACACCGCACTGGGCACAATTCACAGTGTGTGGACGGCGACGTGCTTAAACTGCCCTTATTATTCTTTTTTTTTTTCTTTGCTGGCGAAGTTTGCATCGGTGCGGTGGTGGATGTGCGCCACCTCGGCGACGGTGCACGTTGCCTGTGCCCTGAGGGGGCCGCCTCACGCCGAGGAAGGCATCATCATCTGGCGGTACTGCTTTCTTGCGATCTACTGAGGTGTGCGCAGGCATCAACGTTGATTGTGTGTTTCAACCATGATGCGCTCTTGATGGGCCACATGCATTTTGTCTGCTTGTTGTTGATGAGATAGCCTCGCCTGTTTGTCTATTTGGCGCAACGTTCTGTTGCTTTATTGAGGTGACGTTAGGTGTGCGTCACGGTGGGTGATTTCTCTTTGATTCTTCGCCTCCCGTGAGTGTATGAGTGTGACCGCTGCTCTCGTCGCACCGCCGTTGCGCAGGAGGCGTGGCAATTGCTGGTGCGTGTGCCGCCCCCTTCCGCCTTCCTGCAGAGGCCCCCCTTTACCCTTCGGCCACGTTATTGTTGTTATTAATTTGGTCGGGGGTGCGTGGGGTGGGTGGAAGTGCACGGAGAGTGACTGGAGGGACTTGATGGCGGTCGCGAGGGAGATGGCGGAGGCGGAGATTGAGGGGCAGTACTGCAGCTGCAAGCCGGAGTTTGTGCAGGGGCTGCGGGTGGGTCCGCAGGCCGAGGCGGAGGGGGAGATTGTGTCTTCAGGCCCCCAGTGCGTCGGTCACAATTCAATTTGTTGTGGAAGGTGACGGGTTTTATTATTATTATTTTGTGCGGCATGGCGCTTGTGGATTGCTGCGAGGCCGCGGGGAGATCAGAGAAGTTTTTGGTTTTTTTTGTTGGCTTGGCTCCTGTCGGTTTCTCCTTGCTGCGGTGAGGAGCTGGGGATGCGCGGGAAGGCCATGGGAGACGTGATGTGGCGCGCGGCAGCGGAGTACGAGGGAAGATGCTGGAGTTTTCAAGGCGCCGCAAGGCTTCCCTTTGGGCTGTGGCTATCTTGAGACTTTTAAGTATTTTGGAGGAGGGCAGTGCCACACCGCGTCCCGCTGTTCTTTCCGTTGCGAAGCCGCAGGCAAACGCAACCGCGCGCACCCGATGCATGCATTGCCGTGCGCGTGGATGACCCTTTCGTGGTCGGTGCTGGCGCAGTGCCGTGGGGGCTGAATCTTCCTTTATGCGAGACCTTGGTCGGCTGCTGTCGTTGCTTCATTCTGCCCGCTGTACTTTCCACCTATCGTCCTTCCTCTCTCCATTCTTTTTTGTCTTTTTTTTCCCACTAACTCGCAGCTCAACCCACTGGCTTAAGCGACTCTGCAATTAATACTCCTACTGCGGATGGCGAGGATGCTGGCGGTGCGGCGCAGTGCGGTGTGCGCTTTGGTGGTCCTTGCGCTGCTCTGCGGCGGCTGCTCCCCCGCGTGGGCGGAGGCGGATGAGCATGCTGGAAAGACGCAGGAGGTGTTCGTGGAGTTCTCATGTCCGGACAGTGACAATAAGTTAAGTTGGCGCCTCCCAAACTCTGGAAATTGGAAGAAGTGTGCACACGTCTGGAGCACATATTCATCTTTGAGCGGACGCACTGTGGGCGATGATTACATCTGCGCCTGGGGCGGGTTATTGTACAAAGGTTCCAAATCCATACCGAAATGCCCTGAATCCGCGGCAGAGACCACTCATGCGTTTACGTTGAAATGCAACACGGATGACAAGAGTGGAGTGTACAAGTGGTGGGAGACGATGAAGGGAAACCGCGGGGAGTCGTCCCCTCCTCTTTCAATTCACGACACGTCTGACAGCATACACACTTGTACGCTTCAAAAGCCCAGTGAAGCTGCTGCTGAAGAGGACGGTCACTCGCCTAAAACAGGGGGCGGTGGGAGGGTTGCGGCCAATTCTGCGGGCAGGAGTGACGTCGCCATTGTGTGGATCCGCGCCCCACTGCTGCCGCTGCTGCTGCTGGTGGTGGCTGCCGTTGCCTGTGCTGCTGGGGAGTGACTGCTGTAGGGCAACTGCACACACACACCCAGGCAGGGCGACGCAGAGTGTTTGTGCGCCGAGTTTGCATGTAGTCTCTCTGAGCCAACGTCTCTCTTGCACTTTGAGGGGTGTTTTGTTTCTTCTTTTTTTACGTTTGTTCCAATGGTTGTTTGCTACGCACATCCCAGTGGGTGGTGTCCCTTCCCCTTCTGTTTGCTACTGCCACCAACACGCACACGCGGTGCCTGCCTCGTGGCTGTGCGTTGCACGGACTGCCCAAACGAGACACGAGGCCGCGGAGACTGTGACGGGCAACCGTGATGCGTGCGTGCGAGCAGGTGGTTTTGTTTTCTTTTTCGTTTCTTGCATGCAATGAATACACAAATACACACGCTGTCCTCTTGGGCTTTTGGACACGTGAGGCAAGCACACCTGCCGAGGTAATTTATTTATCTTTTGTTTTGTTTCTGCGAGGAATTCTTCTGAGCTTCCTCTTTAATTTTTTCCTTTTTTTTGTTTGTTTGTTAAATCACTGCGGATTTCTTTTAGTTTGTGCCGT